TAAAATATATATTACAAAAGTGGCATAATCTAATCACAAATATATGTCATTTGGCAAGAAGAAAATAAGTTACTCGGCTGGGCACAGTGGCTCACACCTGTAATCCTAGCATTTTATATATATATATAAATATATATATATTACATATATAGACAGACACACACACTCTCACTCTATATATAGTAATATATATATTACTATATATTCTATATATATATTACTATATATTCTATATATATATATATATAGAGAGAGAGAGAGAGAGAGAGAGAAAGAGAGAGAGACAGACAGACACACATTTGCTATGTTGCCCAGAATGGTCTTGAACTGGCCTCAGGTGATCCTCCTGCCTCAGCCTCCCAAAGTGCTAAGACTACAGGCACACACACACCCCACTGTGCCTGGTCACTCTATCTTAACAAATAAAAAACTAGATAATATGTAGGAAAGAGGTCTAGGTCTTTGCAGACACTGGGCAAAAATTTTGATCTCTAATAGAATGGAAATAAATGAGATCCTATGACTACATTGGCTTTCTCCCTGAAGGAATATTTCCAATGACAGTGCAGGGAGGAAGAACCCAACCAGAGCACAGCAGTGTGCTGAGTTGAGACAAACAACAGAGTTTTGAGGAGAAAGAAGTGACTGGAATTTGTAGAACAGAGTGTGGAAGAGGGGGTTTCTTAGAGAAAAAGCTCCAGAAATATGCATAGGGCTCTCCTTGAGTTTTTGGCTGAAAGCTGAGCTACACATGTATAAGCTCTACAAGGCCAGTGAAAGAAAAACTGCATTGGATGTCAACCAGCCAAAGTGGAGGGACTTTAACAGTACAGACTCCAGAAAGGTTACATCATAATGGTAGACCTAAACAGGTCCTGGAATAAAGGCTACTGTTCTAACAAAGTTTAAACAAGTCTCAAAACTATTACAAATTCTTCAAATTTTTGGGCTGGATGATTAAAAAATATATTACGGATTCAGAGATAATTGCCTGAGAAAATAAAATTCAGACATTCAGTGTAGCAATGGAACAATATCCAGTATTCAGTAAAAAAATTGCCAGGTATGCAAAAAAGCAGGAAAATGTGACCAAAGCCAGGAAGGAAAAAAAAATCAGTTAATAGAAACACAGAAATGACAAATAGTAAGATTAACAAAGGCTAAAACAAATACCTGTCAGTGACTTAACCAAAACATTAACATAATGAAAAGAAATATATGAAAAAGAAGGTAATGGAATTTCTAGAGTTGAAAAATTCACTTGACAGGCTTAGTAGCAGGACTGAGGGACACACCAAAGGGAATTTATTGTATGAATCCATTTTAGGTGAAATTCTGGAACAGGCAAAACTACTCACTAATCTTTTATTATGCAGATGGCATCGCTACCTGGCTGGTGCCATGTTGTCTGTTCCCTACTGTACACATGGTTGACAAAGAAAAGGGAAGATGGAGCTGCCATGCTGGACATGCCACATGGGAAATGGAGTTCATACTCAAATCATCTCATCCAAGCTCTTAGATTAGAGGTTTTTCAAAGTCAGTTTGGGGAAAGGGGTGGGAGCCGCCGGAAAACAAGTGCTTGCTGCTGATTGGTTGGGTGGAGATGAAATCATAGGGGGTCAAAGCTGCCCTCATGCAGGCTGAATTGCTTCTGGGTGGTGCCACAGGAGCTGGGTTGGTTAGTCCAGGTGGAACCATCAGGTCCAGGTGGAGCCATGGGTGTCAGACATGAAAAAACCTGAAAAGATATCTCAAAAGGCCAGTCTGAGGTTCTACAGTAGTGATGTTATTTGCAGTTGTAATTGGGGAAGTTGCATATCTTATAAACTTTGGAAGGATGCAGCCTCCTCTCCTCCTCCCAGCCTGATGGCCTCCCATTAGCTTTACAAAAGCAACTGAGTTTTGGCCAAGGCCTGTTATTTAAACTATAGCCTAAAAGTCTTCCAAGGTTAGTTCAGCCCTATATAGCCCAGGAATAATTAAGGGAAAGGCAAGATAGATGGGGTCAGCTCAGTTTACTGTCAGTTTTTCTCACTGATATAGTTTATGCAAATGTGGTTTCACAAAGATGCCTACTCTCTTCATTCACACATTTGTGAAATGTCGAAAAGACTGCAGAAACCTGGAAGTTTACTGATGCCTTACCTTAAACAAGGCTTGTCTGTCTGGTTTGAGAGTGAGGGGAAGATACCATAATTTCAACATTCAAACACTACCCAACTACAATTTTTGTAGATTGTGCTCCTTTTACTTTTTATTCATAGGAACAGTTTTCCAATGTTGCAGTCATAATGCAATTTTAACAGCTTTGTTCCTCCTTTAAGAAACCTTAAGAAGTATTTTCACATGTTGCTTCATTGCCATGAGATTATTCTTTTTAAAAGTTGTATAGTTTTCAATCAGACAGATGTGAAAGGAAAATAAATCTCACGACCCCAAAATCACTAAGCCAAGGGAAAAGTCTGGCTGGGAACTATGTCAGGCAAAGCTGCCTCCCATTTGATTCCTAAATAAGATAACTATAAAGATAAAAAGTTACATACTTCCCTCACAATTTGCTCACAAGGAAATTCCTTTTGGACAAAGGACAGAAAGAACTCAAAGTCATCCGTCTGAGGCTCGTGTGACAAATGCATATGCATATCTGATTGCTTCCTCAGACCTATTGTTTATGTAAAAATGCAGATTCACTGAGCCAGACTAAATTGTATATTCAGTGGAAAGCTAATCAAGTCAAAAGAATGCAACCTTTTGTCCCATATCTACTTTTGACCTGGAAGCCCCCACCTCAGATTTTTCCACCTTACCTGACTGAACCAATGTACATCTTACACATATTGATTGATTTCTCATGTCTCCCTAAAATGTATAAAAGCAAGCTGTACTCCAACCACCTTGGACACGTCATCAGAACTTCCTGAGGCTCTGTCATTAGTGCTTCCTTAACCACGGCAAAATAAACTTTCTGAATTGATCGACACCTGTCTCTGATAACTTCTGGTTTAGAACTTACTGCTATTTATTTGACCATTCTTGTAGATGTGGAGTCCTGATAAGTAAACAACCATGAGGAAGGGGCCACAGGTGGGGAAGAACAATGAACAATTGTTCTGAGAGATGGCTAATCAAACAACCTGAGGTCACAATGACCTCATTCTTCATAGTTTCCTCCAGCATGACCCCTATAAAGCTTCCTTCCAGCTCCTGCCTCTTTGCAGACAGCTCCTTCTCTGCTGTGCCGCCAGTTGCAACCTTGCAACATATTTTCATACTTTCTCTAATAAATCTGCCTTTCTTTACCTATGATTGTCTTGGTAAATATGAGACTGTCTTCTTTACTGCCTTTGATAACAGGCCCTAGCTACTTGCTACCTGCGACCATAGCCATATTGTTTATATTCAACATTTTATTATAAACAATTATTTGTTGCTAATATCATAGTTGCATTTTTTTTATTTCCTAAAGATAAAATTCCCAGCTTGGATGATGCTCTTTATCACGGCAACTTTGGTCAGACAATTAAATGAAGGAATTGAAGGGTATAACAGGATTTTAGGAGGGGTGGTACAGAATTGGGCAATAGAGCTAAACATAGGAGTTTATAAAATATTTCCAAAGACAGGTCGAAGAGAAGGAATGAGTATGATATTGTTAAATATATATATCTAATCTTCATCCTATTTCCTAGCATGGAACTCCTAAAAATCCTTAGAAACTGCAAAATAAGAGTTAAAAACTCTGTGTGCTAACGAGTTGACTGATATTTGGTAACTCCTATGCAGTTTCAGCACGGGGACTGGTTATGGAAAGTATCAATGCTTGACTAGAAGGTTGGGACTTTGAACCCACCCCCAACCTCCAGGGACGGGAGGGGATTGAGGGTTACTGTTTTAATCAACCATGCATATGCAATGAAGCTGCTGTGAAACTCCCAAAAGACAGGGTTTGGAGAGCTTCCACACCACAGAACATGTGGAGATTCCTGGAAGGTGCAACATCCTTTCTTCCGTACGTTGCCCTATGCATGTCTTCCTCTATATCCTTTGTAATATCCTTTATAATAAAGCAGTAAACATAAGTATTTCCCTGAGCTCTGTGAGCCAGTCTAGCAAAATAATGAACCGTAAGAGGGGGTGGTGAAAATCCCAACTTGAAGCTGGTGGGGTCAGAAGTTCCAGAGGCTGGCCTTGTGACTAGCGGGAAGCGGGAGGCAGGCCTGGGGACTGACGCCTCAGCGAATGGTGTCCGATCCATCTCCAAGTAGACTGCGTCAGAACTGAACTGGAGGGCACCCAGCTGAGGTCCGCTGCAGAACCCACTGCTCGCTTTGTATGTGTGGGAAACTCCCCCATGTTTAGTCACAGAAGTCTTCTGTTATGATTAGTTGTCGTTGAGAGAATTAAAAAAAAATGCACTTTGTGTTTTTTCCACTGATTCAGAGGGCATAACTCAAAGAATGAAGAACTGAAAGAATAATCTTAATACTCTGCTTCGCTTTTCTTGATAATATGCATTACTCCCCAACATGCATCAGTCCCCTTTATTATTAATTTTTTTCTATTGAATTATTCCCGCATTAGAATGCTGCTCCATGAGGTGGGGATTTTGTCTGCTTGTTTACTGCTGTGTGCCCAGGGCCTAGGAGAGTGCTCGGCAGGGTAGGTGCTCAATAAATGGCAAATGAAACACAGGGCAAGGCGGAGAGAGAAGAAACAGAAAGGGAAGGGAAAAAGAAAGGCCGGGCCGCGGGAGCGCTTAATCACACGTACCACGTACCTGTACCCTCTCCAGCTTGCTCAGTCCCCACACTGGTCCTCAGCTCCGTTTTCTCAGGGATGGGCTTCCAGACTTACCCCGAGCGCTCGTGCGCGGGCTCCGTCGCTGCGCGTGCGCGTCGCGGTGCAAGCACCCCGGCCTCGCAGCCTTTGGGGACCCGAGCAGACTGCGCCTGCGCAGTCAGAGCGGGCCCGCCCAGGCCTGGGGCGGAACTGGTGGATGAGCCAACGGCCTGAGAGGGCTTAGCTGGTCCAGGTGGGGTTCTGAAGGCCAGCGGGGGTGGAATTACTAGGGGAGGGGGCGCAGCAGAAACTACCCTGACTGAGCGGCCGGGTCTGCGGCCGCCCGGGACCCCCAACCACCATCCCAGCATCCTCTGCGCCGCGCCGGCCCCGGACTGCATTTCCCAGCGGCCACTGCGGCCTGCCGGAGCGCTCAGGCGCCTTTGTGAGCGCGGCCGGGAGCCAGGGTCGAGTCCTGGCCCGGGCCTTGGCCCAGCCCCGGCCCCCAAGGACTGCGTCGAAGGAGGTACGCACTGGAGGGAGGAGGCGGTGAGGAGCGCAGGATGGAGCGGACGCCGGCAGCGGCCATGCCACCATGTGTGGGACCATGTGTGACAGTGTGTGAGACGGTGTGAGAATGTGACAGTACCCTGTGTGACAATGTGAGACCGTGTGACAGTGTGAGAATGTGTATGAGACCGTGTGTAAATATGTGTCAGTGTGACACCATATGGAACAAATGTGGTACTGTGTGTGACAATGTGATACTGGGTGTGAGAATGTGACAGTGTGTGACCGTTGCCTGTCTATGCAGGAGCCTTTAACAGTGTGTGGGACTCTGTGACAGTGTGTGTGTTTAAGACCACATTACCATGTGTGAGACTGAGAATGTGTGACAGTGTTAGACTGTCACTATGTGTAGACCATGTGTGAACAGTGTGTAAGACCATGTTACTGTGTGTTTGACCTGTGTGTGGGATCATGTAAGACTGTGTGACGGTGTGTGTGACTTTGTGAACAGATTTTGGCCATGTGTGTAGGATCATGTGAGACTGTGACAGTATGTGAGACCATGTCACCGTGTGTGTGGTACAGTGTGTGATTGTGTACAGTGTGTGGCCATTGGTGTGGGACTATGTGAAACTGCAACAGTGTTTGATAATTTGTGTGACAGTGTGTGAGACTGTCACTGTATGTGAAACTTTATGTGAACAGAGTTTGTGTTGTTGGACTAAGATTGTCTGTGACAGTGTTTGGATTGTGCATGACAGTGTGTGATTATGTGAGATGGAGGGAGATTGTGTGACTTAGCGCTGTGTGTCATCCAGACAATGAGTGTGACAGTGTGACTCAGAGTGGCCTTTATGACCCATTGTGAGAACAGGGAAGGCTACAATGTGGGGCCATGTCCATAGTTTGCCAGGAGAGGTGCCAGAATGAGAGACTGTGTGGTTTATTGCCTGTGATTTGTGTGGACAGGAAGCTGTGTGGGTGCTTGGAGATGCTGGTGTGCTTTGGGATTTGGGAGACTGCTGTTGTGGTGGGGAGACAGAGAGATTGAGATGAAGGGAAAAGATGGAGAAAGGGAGAAGGGAAGAGAGCTGGAAAGGGAGAGACAGACAGGAACCTCAGCCTTAGGCCTGTAAAGCTGACCATGCTGGCTGCTGCTCCTCTGGCACGGTAGTTGTTCCATCCTTCTCGGTCTCTGGGAGCATGTGAGGAATTTAAGAGGAAAAATGAATGGGAGACCTACCTTGTGCTATTTATAAAAATAAATGACAAAAAGATGAAAATTTATTTAACAAAGATGTGCCAAGCACTGTGCTAAATGCTTTATGTAAATCATTTCAGAATCCTCCCAACAATTGATAGGGAGTAGTTACCATTTCACTGATAAGGAATCAGGTTTGGAATGGTTACCAACCTTGCCAAAGGTAGTATGTAGTGGTTTGGCTGTTTGAGACCAGGTGTTCTGATCCTTAAGTCTGGTGGTTCTTACCACTAAGTTATGCTGCTTCTTAGGTAATGGCTTTATTCTTCAAGGCAGTGAGGTGTGGTGGACAAGAATTCCTGATAGGGGATTTGGATGGCTGTTCATGCATAGGTTGCCCCTCCTTCTCTTTCCCCTTATTTCTTTCTGAGGAAGTTGCTCAGAAAACTCAAGAGACTGGTTTTCAGGTGCGGATTGTCATAAGCTAGGACCTGAAGTAGGGTGTCCTGACTCTTTGATGGAGTGTCCACCACACTGTACAGCCCCTCTGGTACTCACTCTGTGTATAGAGATGCTTTCTCTGAGACATTTCACTTTGTAGCTTTGTCTTTCATCCTTGCAGAAAGGGTGGGCACATATTTCCTTTCAACATCATGATCAGGTGGAAAGAATTAAGTTAGACCTGGTTTCCGGTTTGGCTTAATTATGTATTACCATGATGCCTTGGATAATTACTCCGATGAAGAGCCTTCATGTGTAAAAAAGGGGGAAATCCTTGCTTGGTAATGCCATTCTGTAATTGCTGTTTTTGTTTTAAATTATAAATGAGGAGGTAACTTATGCACAGAACATGTATGTTGTATTCTTAAGATCCCAAGCATGTGGGTAAAAGAATTGTAAATTTAGATATAAATGACTTACTTGGTGATACCTCTAATTATCCCTGAGGTTGGGGAAAGGAGAATGAGAAGGAAAGGTTTCTAGGTTATTGATACTGGGAGCTGCAGGGCAGGCCTGGCATTTTATGGTTCCTTTTCCTTCTCTAGCTCTACATTCTCAGGTTACTGTCCTTCTCCCAGAGAGGAGCCTAAAGGAGTAGGACAGAAGAACTGTCAAATTCTTGAATCCTTAAAGCCATGTCCAAGGTAAGAAAGCATTTCTTCTCTCTTCCCTAAAATGTCATCTTATTTTTTAGGTTATAAGAACATTTTGTTTTTCTTCCAAAATTCTCCAGCCTAACAAGGTTCCATTAATCCAGTTGCCTGAGCAACATAGTGAGACATAGTGAGACATCATGTGTATCAAAAATAAAAAAAATTACCTGGGCATGGTGGTGAGTACCTGTGGTGCCAGCTACCTGAGAGGCCAAGGTTGGGAGGCTCATTCAAGCCTGGGAAGTTGAGACTGCAGTCAGCCATGATTGTAACACTGCACTCCAGCCTGGATGACAGCAAGATCCTGTCTCCCCTAAAAAAAAAAAAAAAAAAAAAAAAAGTAGGGGGAAATGAAAAAAAAAAAAGAAGGAAGAAATGCTGGATATTATATTTTAAGTTTCTTTAATGATGGCAATTTTTTAAATTAAAATAAATATAAAAAACATTTGCAAGGTATTCATGGTCTCATTGGCTGAGAGGAAAATGTCAGGTAAAACACAGAATCCATTAGTTCATGTGTGCAGCTAAAAAATGTCTTTTAGGGACTTTGTGTAGCAAAAGCTACTTCACTAATGTCTATAGAATAAATGATGTGTGTGGAACACTTCCCTGCATAAAATTTTAAAGAGTTTGCATTGAAGTGTTTGAGTTTCAGTAGAATTGATGATTAGTAGTGCCCAGTTCTATCCTGCACAGGTTTTAATTTTTAGACCTGATTCACAATCCTTTCCTTCTTTGAAGCCAAAAGTCACTTCCTTAGATTTCCTTATATTAAGAAGTGTGTCAGAGATGGAAGCTTTTTAAACAGCTGATGCATGTAACTGATGTTTCCTGGAGCCATACTTTTGCTTTCTTTATATCATATTTGACAACCAACAAGGCAAAGGCATACAGCAGAACGTATCCTAGCTGGGATCCTAGAGTTTGCTGCCATGCTGGGCATTTAAACTTAAGTTGCTGAATTCCTTGTGGGGAAATCTGGTGTGGTCACTAGCAGCACTCAGTCCAGTAGCTGTTTACCAATGAATGTGACAATATTTCAGTATTTAAGAAATCAGTACAGCTGTTCAGGTGTGTACCATTGAATGCCATCTGTATGTCAACCCAACTTAAGAGCAGGCTTTGCTCTGTAACATGTCAAAACTAAGACATATATGCCTAACCATATAGCAAGCCCTGATAAGTCTTGAGCTGATTTATCCTGTTAGGAAGAAGACCCATTTTTAATTTTTAGGGAGCAAACTAGGTCTTGTTCCATGTTATCTTAAAGATCCTTAATTCAACATGCCGTAGTATTATTTGAGAGCTGTATTGTAACATTTTAAAAACTCTCTTGCTCATCAGACACAGTTGTGTATGTTTCTCTAGTGAGGGCTGTAGGTATTTTTTGATGCATTTTATTATCAGACTTGGAGATGTTCACTATTTAAGAAAATTAATAGACGTTAAATTACTATTATTTTATCTCTTACCTAGCATGATTATAAGTTACCAGCTATCTTTACAGCTGAGTGGGTTATTAAGAGCTGTTAGGCAATCATTTGTTGCCCCTTACACACAGTCTCAGGAAAAATTTTATTTCCAGTGGAAATTTGTTCCAAGTTGAAAGAACTTTTATTATACTTCTTTGATTCCTTCTTATAGAGTACTGATTATACAGATTCAAACATTTATTATAATGTTACTCTTCTTCTGAAGACATTAGAAGTCACAGTCTTTGAGATCAACTTCATTTTATCTGTGACTTTTTTCTTGTTTTGATTCAGATACCTTTTTGTTTGTTTATTTTTAGAAATAGGTTCTTTACTATATTGCCCAGGCCGGACTCAAGCATCCAAGGCAGTCCTCCTGCCTAAGCCTCTTGAATACCTGGGACTATAGGCATGCACCACCACACCTGGCCTGATTCAGATACCTTTTGTGACATCAAGCTGCTAGTCATCTAAACCATATGCCTTCCATTCATTTAAACCATCCACAGGGGAGGAGTTTGTGTTAAATAAATATTTAAAATACAACACACACACGACCTAGGTTGTCATTGTGAAATGTGTAATATGAAATGTAAAAAATACATGAGATGAATTTACGTAATATGAAATGTAAAAAATCAGTGAGATGAGATGCATCACTTTGACAGCTGGTTGGCAAATGTTGTCTTTGCCACCAAGCACAGATTCAGTGGCATATTTTCTCACATCAGGTGATCTGTCACTCAGCTTCTTGATTGCTCTCTGTTATGGTATACATTTAAGCCATATTTTTGCAAGTCAGTATAAAAGTTTGTTTACTTTTTCTATTACACATTTATTTAATTTTAGAAAGTCAATGTTATAAGCATCAAACATAATTATATATATTTTTATACAGCCCTATTCATTCTCTGAACACTGACCATTACATTGTACAAAGTTTGGAAAAATGCCGGGTTCAACCATGTACACCTTATAAAGCTTAACTCTGCCTGTTTCCTTCTTGAAGTTCCTTACTGCTCCAGTGCATCTGGTTTTCCAATATTGATAAGTACTCTGGCATTTAGTATAACATATTTTATACTTGATTTACAGTGTTCTATTATTGTCCAGTTTTGTGTGTGTTATAAATCCTTTCTCCACCAGTAAGATTATTTCTCAAATTGGATACTTTCCATGATAGAATATCGAAACCACAAAGAAGTCATTGAGCAATTACATGACATGTGTTGCCCAAAAGCTAAGATACTGTCAGAAAGTTTTGCTATGTGCAATATTTCTCTCTAAAAGTATAGACAGTTTAACCCTTTTTTTTTTTTTTGAGACAGAGTCTCATTCTTTTACCCAGGCTGGAGTGCAGTGGCACGATCTCTGCTTACTTCCAAGTAGCTGTGACTACAGGCCCGTGCCACCACACCCAGCTAAGTTTTTGTATTTTTAGTACAGGGTTTCACCATGTTAGCCAAGATGGTACCGAGCTCCTGACCTTGTGATCTGCTTGCCTTGTCCTCCCAAAGTGCTGGGATTACAGGTCTGAGCCATACACCCGGGCGACAATGTAACTCTTTAACCTAGGCTCATGTGAGGATATGAACACTAGTTGAATAAGAATGTGTTTATGTCATTTCAGGATTTGGTGACATTTGGGGATGTGGCTGTAAATTTCTCTCAAGAGGAATGGGAATGGCTGAACCCTGCTCAGAGGAATTTGTATAGGAAAGTGATGTTGGAGAACTACAGGACCTTGGTATCATTGGGTAAGAAAGTTTCCCCATAATTCACAATCTGTACATGGGACTGAGCTCCAGTGTAATGTTTGAGAAACCTCCGATGTGCTTCACTAAATTTCCCTTTCGTGTGCTTCCCAAAATAGGTTGAATTTGTAGAATTGGCAGCTTTATCTTCCCCATTCTTATTCCTCAACTCCCTTCCATTATGCTCCCACCTTCTTGATGATGCAGAAACTTGATCTTATTCATAGATGTGCCTAATTTCCATTTTATTTCTTGTAAGCAGGAGTTTCTGTTTCTAAGCCAGATGTGATCTCATTATTGGAGCAAGGAAAAGAGCCCTGGATGGTGAAGAAGGAGGGAACGAGAGGTGCATGCTCTGGTGAGTGAGAGAGAAATAGGGAGATAGAAGCCATTGCCAGGAAAAGCTTAGCAATTCGGCAAGGTTTCAGATCATAATTGACATTTCCTGGGTAGCTTTTCTTAAAGACTCAAGACCTAGGAAGAAATATTAAGGCATCTTTAGCATGACCTCCTCAATTTGTTCCCTCTATCTATATTCTCTCACAAGTTACTGTCTTCTCTGATAACCCATTTTCCTATTTTTGGATCCAAATGTCACAGCCTCTCCTTGTCCTTGCCTTTTAGTTTTACACAAGTTGCTTCATTTCATTTTTCAAAAATCCAGGTGCCTATAATCCCAGCTCTTTGGGAAGCCAAGGTGGGTGGATCACTTGAGCTCAAGAGTTCAAGACCAGCCTGGGCAACATGGCAAAACTAAAAATAATAAAAAAAAATTATCCAGGCCTGGTGGCATGCACCTGTAATCTCATCTATGTGAGAGGCTGAGTGGGGAGGATCACCTGAGCCTGGGAGGTGGAGGTTGCAGTGATCTGAGATTGTGCCACTGCACTCCAGCCTGGGCAACAGAGCAAGACCCTGTCTCAGAAANTTTTTCCTTTCTCAGTTACTTATTCCTTTTAGATTGAAGGATTGACGCATTTATTTATTTATTTATTTATTTATTCTTTTGCCAAGACTCATTGACTTTATGTTTTGAGAACAGCATTGTGCTAAATTCTTGGAATTATTCAGAGGCTTATGCACCAGCAAAGGAAAAAGAAAGCCAATTTTATTTTCAAGTCTGGATAGCTAGAAGATAATAACACTTAATAGAAACAATCAGAAGAATAGGTTGAAAGGAGGAAAGATGATGAATTTGACTGTGGACATAAGAGAGTTATATTTATGCGATGAGGAGAGTTCCAAGCGAAGAAACGCAACATGCAACTGGTTTAGAAGATGGGGGCTCAGAAAAATAGTCTGATTTAGAGATGCCAGTGTGAATGAACGAGTTTGCTGGTCTTAAGAGTTTGAGAGATGAAGCCTGATGCTGAGGCCTTTGTGGGAAAGTGAATCTTTGGCAACTTTCTCATTATCCTCCATGGTAAATGGCATCTCTATAGTTTGTCTTTGGTTATAAATATATATAAATATAAATAAATATATATATATATTTAAGATGGCATCTTGCCCTGTTTCCCAGACTGAGTGCAGTGGTGCACTGCAACATCCACCTCCCAGGTTCAAGCAATTCTCCTGCCTCAGTCTCCGAAGTAGCTGGGATTACAGATATGCACCACCATGCCCAGCTAATTTTTCTGTAATTTAAGTAGAGATGGGGTTTCACCATGTTGGCCAGGATGGTCTTGAACTTGTGATCTCAAATGATCTGCCCGCCTGGGCCTCCCAAAGTGCTGGCATTACAGGCATGAACCACCGTACCCAGCCTGTCTTTGGTTAAATTTTATGCATTTTAATTTTTCTAGATAATTGCCCTTTTCATTTATCAGATTTCATGAATTTAAGCAAAGTAATCTATAATTATTTTTCTTGCTTTTTTATCTACAATGGTTTCCAATTTTAATTTCTTTCTTTGTATAGCTATTCTTTTTTAAAAAGAATATATTTAATTTCTTATTTTGTATAACTATTCTTTTTTTTAAAACAATATGTTTATTAGGTTGCTCTACCCATAAATCAGTTTATTTTTAAAGACATAGCTTATGGATTTATGTATTAGTATTATCATTCTTTTCCAATTTTCTGTTTTTTCCTTACTTATTCATAAAACTTTTTCTTCTAATTCTTTCCTTTTAATTTTCTTATTTTAATCTCCATAGTCCTGAAATGAGAGCTTAATCTATTAATTTCATTCTTTTATTTAGTAATGAGATTACTAAGGACCATAAATTTTCCTCTGTTTATCTTTGTCTATCTCCTGTAGATTCCGATACGTAGTGTTTTTGTTACTGCTGTTCATACTGGATAATTACCTTAAAAATATTTTTCTGTCACTCAGAGTTGTTTAAAAGAGAGTTTTCTGGTTTTATTGTATTTGATCAGACAGTATTATTAAGGAATTATTTACATATACTAAACTGGATACATATAAATTGTACAGTTTGATGACACTTGCATATACCCATGAAACTGTCGCCACAATCCAGACACATTTAGTATTTCTATCACCCTAGAAGATTGCTTCTGTCTCTTTCCATCTATCTTACTCTCCACTCCCCGTTCCAAACAAACATGAATCTAATCTTTGTCATTTTAGATTAATTTGCATCTAAAGTAAATGGAATCATGCAGTATGTATTTTGTTATGTCTGGTTTATTTCACTCAGCATAATGATCTTGAAATTTATCCATATTGTTGCATGTATGAATGCAACATTTCATTTGTCCATTTACCTGTTGATGGACATTTGGGTTGTTTCCAGTTTTGGGCTAGTATAAATAAAGTTGCTGTGCAGCTGTCATGTACAGGACTTTGTGTGAACATATATATGTTTCTGGGTCAGAGGGTAAATACCTAAGATGGAAGAACTGAGTCATATGATAGGTATATGTTTAACTCTGTTAGAAACTGTCAGTTTTCTGAAGGGATTATACTATTCCTTCTAGCAGTATATGAGACTTCCAATTAATGCACATTCTCACCAGATCTTGGTATTGTCTAGTCGTGTTTTTAATTTTAGTCATTCTAATGGTTGTATTATGGTTTTAATATCCATTTCTGGGATGACTAATAATCTTGAGCATCCTTTCATATGCTTCCTGGCCATGCATATAACTTTTATGAAGTCTGTTCAAATATTTTGCACGTTTTATTGGATTGTTTCTGAGTTCTAAGAGTTCTGTATATAGTCTTAAGTTGTCATTTACATGTATTGGCATATATGTATGCCAATTATGGCTTGCTTTTTTGGTTTTCTACTGCCAACTCAGAGGCAAGGTTTGCAATTTTTGTAAAATCCAATTTATTAATTTGTCTTGATGCTTTTTATGCTATATCTAAGAAATTCTTACTACTGCCAGGTCACGAAGATATTTTTCTAGGAGTTTTAAAGTTTTAGCTTTTACATTTAGCACTGTGAATGATTTTGAGCTACTTTATGTATCTTGTGTGAGGTAAAGGTTGAGGTTCATTTGTTTTTTCCATATGGATATACAGTTGCCCCAAGACTCTTTTTCAGGAAAGACATCTAATTGTATCACCTTGCTAGTTTTCCTGATCATCACTTGACCACATATGTGTGCATCTAGGTCTGGAATCTCTTTTGTTTAATTGACCTATATGTCTGTTCTCTCACTAGTTCCATACTGCCTTATTATAGCTTTCTAGTAAGTTTTGATATCAGATAATGCAATTTGTAAAATTGCCTTGACTATTTTAGATCATTTGCATTTCATATAAATTTTAGAATGAAGTTGAGAATTTCTGCTCAAAAAACTTAAATTTTTGTTGGGATTATATTGATTCTACACATCAGTTGAAACAGAGCTGATCTCTTAACATTGAGTCTTCTAATATAAATATGGTTTATTAAGCCATTTCTTAGTCTTTAAAAATGTCTCGAGGTTGACTGTGATGGTGTGCACCTGTAATGTCAGCTACTTGGGTGGCTGAGTTGGAAAGATTGCTTGAACCCAGGACTTTGAGACTAGCCTGAAAAACACAGCAAGACTCTGTCTGGAAAAGAAAAAGGAAAAATAATACAATNTTTTTTTGAGATAGAGTTTCACTCTGTCACCTGGGCTGAAGTGCAGTGGTGCAATCTCAACTCACTGCAACCTCCGCCTCCCAGGTTCAAGTGATTCTTATGGCTCAGCCTCTCGAATAGCTGGGATTACAGGCATCTGTCACTATGCCCAACTGATTTTTTGTATTTTTAGTAGAGACAAGGTTTCACTATGTTGGCCAGACTGGTCTCGAACTCCTGACCTTGTAAGTCTCCCGCCTCGGCTTCCCAAAGTGCTGGGATTACTGGTGTGAGCCACTGTGCCTGGCCAATAAAATTTACCTTAAGGATATTTTGCAGTATCCAGTGTAGTGGTACTCTGTCTTTTAATTTTTTTTTCCTAAGTCTTTAATAGTTCTTTGAGTACTTAATAAATAGCACTTTTAAAAATTCAGTTTTCTAATAGTTTGCCACTAGAATGCAAAAATGTAAATGGATTTTTATATTAACTTTACATCTTATGACCTTGCTAGATTCATTTAATAGTTGCCCTCACAGTTATTTTGTAGGTCCATGAGGATTTTCTGGGTGGACAATCATGCCATCTACAAATACAGCTGGTTTTTTTTCCTTCTGATCTTTATACCTTATTTTTCTTGATACATTGCAATGACTGGGACCTCCTGTATAATGTGTAATTGAAGTGGTAATAGGAGATGTACTAGTGCTGTTCCAATCTTATGGGGGAATATATTGTATCTTTTACTGTTAAGTCAATGTAAGCTGTAAGTTTTTCTTAGGTGTCCTTGATCAGTTTGAAAATATTCCTTTCTATTCCTGGTTTGCTGAGAATTTTTATAATAAAAGGGTCAGATACTATTTCTATATCTGTTGAAATGATCATGTGATTTTTTTCTTTAATCTTTTAATGTAGTGAATCACACTGATTTTTTTTTTTAATCTTTTAATGTAGTGAATCACACTGATTTTTTTTTTTAATCTTTTAATGTAGTGAATCACACTGATTTTTTTTTTTTAACACAATGTAAACAAATACATTGATTTTCAAATGTGAAACCAATCTTGCATTTTGGGGATAAACTCTACTTGGTCATGATGATGCTATTCGTATTTTCCTGGATTTTATTTGCACTGTTTTATTAAAGATTTTGCCTTTTGTACACGTGCTACATTGGTCTGCAGGTTTACTTTCTTATAATTTCTTTATCTGGTTTTAGTATCAAGATAATGCTGGCCTTGTGAAAAATAAGTTGGAAAGTGTTTTATCTTTTTCTATTTTCTGACACCATTTGGATAAAATGGTATTACTTATTCCTTAAATATTTGATAGAATTCACCAATGAAGACACAGGATCCTGAATTATTTTTTACATAACAGCTTTAATGGATATAAAGTTATTCAGGTTATCTGATTTTTGTTGAATCAGCTTTGGTAGGTGTATCTTTCAAGAGATTTCTGTGTTTCATCTGAGTTGTCCAATTTATTAACATTTTTAATAAATGGCTGTAGGATGTGTAATGATAATTCCTCTGGTGTTGCTGATTTCTGTTCTTTTTTCCTTGATAACTGATGTTTTAAAAGAACCTACTTTTGGTTTTATTTTCTCTGTTGTTTCTTTTCTATTTTGTTAATTTTCTTTAACTTTTTGCTTTTGTCTACTTTCCTTAAGTTTACTTTGGTCTTTTCCTAACTTCTTAAGGTGACATATTAGATGATTGACTTTTAGACTTTTAGTTGTTTTCTAACAAAAGCATTTGAAAACTGTAGATTTTCCTTTAAGTGCCATTTTAGCTGTTGATTTCTTCTGTGACACTCTTTGACCCATGATTTATATAGAAATGTGTTGTTTAGTTCTCATATGTTTGGAGTTCACTAGATATTATTGATTTAAAAATCAGTAACCTCTAACCTCTGTTGAGGTTAGACAGCATACTCTCTTCAGTTTCAGTACTTTTGAATTTATAGAGACTTGGTTTATGCCCCAGAATATGGTCTATCTTATTTACTGAATACACCATGTACACTCAAACACATGTTGTACAGATGTTGGGTGTAGCATTGTATAAATATAAATTAGATGAAAGCAGTTAACCCTGTTGAGATCTCCTTGTTACAATTTTTTCCTAGTTTTGTCAGTTTCTGAGCAAAGCATGTGTTAGTCACCTATTATGACTATAGGATTACATATTTCTTACATGTTCAATTTATGTTGTATGTATTTTGAGGCTTTATAGTGGGTGCACATACATTAAGGATTATTTCTTTCTGATGAATTGGTCCTATTATTACCATATGTCTCTTTATCTTTGGTAATACTCACTTTTAAAGTCTATTTTATCTGATATGAATATAGTCAGTCTACCCTTATGCTTACTGTTTGCATGTTACATCTTTATCTATTTACTATTTATTTGTAATGTATTCTTGTATGTTATGTGAGGATTTTTTTTTTTTTTTGGACGGAGTCTTGCTTTGTCACCCAGGCTGGAGTTCAGTGGTGCCAATCTTGGCTCACTGCAACCTCCACCCCCTGGCAGCCTTCCGAGTAGTTGTGATTATAGGCACACGCCACCACACCTGGCTAATTTTTTTTGTATTTTTAGTAGAGACAGGGTTTCACCATGTTGGCCAGATTTGTCTCAAACTCCTGACCTCAGGCAATCCACCCGCCTTGGCCTCTCAAAGTGCTAGCATTAAACAGCATATAATTGTGTCTTTCATTTTGTCAATTCCTGTAAACTTCCTGACTTGTTGTACCTTTTAATATTATGCTTCTAGTGGGTGCCGTAGGGCTATGGTGCTCAAAATGTGGTCTCGAGACAGCAGTGTCACCTGGGAACTTGTTAGAAATGAAGATTCTCAGCCCTCAACCTCCACTAACTCAATCAAAAACTCTGTGCATGGGGTATAGCAAGTTGTATTATAGCAAGTTCTGTAATTCTGATACACTCTAAAATGTAAGAATGACACCAGTAATGATTATAATATCTGTCCTTCACTTTTCAGTCTAATGGGAATTAGTATTTATCAATGACTATAAGTGTGTTTTTACTTCATTATTATAGTTTATCAACTTAATTCTGGGTTTAATTAGATCAGTGCTCCTTGGCAGTCATTTCATATTTCTTTTTTACACATAAGTCTTCAGAATTTAATCTTCATCTTGACTTTCTATAGGGCATTCATGAGTGTGATTTGCAACTGTTGAGAGAGGAAAGTGGAATTTAGAAGGGCATTGAGGCAGCACAACAGAGTTAGCAGCCTCAATTTAAGTATGTTGCCTTTAGATTCTTTTCCTTCCAAATCTCATTATCCACTATAATAGTTTAGTGGTAATATTCCATTTGATTTCAGACATTTACTCCATTCATGCAAGCATGTCATTCTAATAAGAGGATGAATTAGTGTGGTGTTTTATGTATAATTGATTCAGTATTTACTGTAAAGATACTAAGCACCTTCTATCTGTCCAGGCTGTTTTAGGCAATGGGTATTCAAGGGTGAGAAAAAAAGTTCCTGCACGTGAAAGCTTACATTGTAGTGATAATAGAGTAAGTTAACGTATAATATGATATTAAATAAGGTAAGTGCTATGAAGTGCAAAGCAGGAGGAAAGAGAAACATAAGAGTGTGTAATACTTTATATTGGTTGTTCAGGAGAGGCCATACTAAGGAGGTAATATGTGAACAGAACCTCAAATGAAGAAGGGCATTGAGAGAAGGGATCAAGCAGATATCTGTGGAAAGTGCTTTTCAGGCAGAGAAACAGCAAGTCTGGTGTTCTTAAAGTGAAAATAAAGTGAATTCCCATATGACTAAAGTGGAGTAAGCAAGCGAGAGAGTAATAGAAGATAAGTTCAGGGAACACCACATCATAAACCATGGTAGGAATTTTGTTTTTATTATAAATGTAAGACACTAGAGGAAAATCTTAAGCAGAAAAATGAAGTGATCTGATTTGGAGTTGGACAGGGGAAGGCAGATTAAGTTCTGTGCTGGGTTAGTAAGACCAAGAAGTTTGATACAAAACTAAAAGGCATCTTAGCTTCAGGAATCAATTGAAAATTTACATATGGTTAGAATGAATTTATTACATAGAAAATGATTTTCAAGACGACTTTTTTCTAACTGTGGATGTTTACCCATAGAGCTTTATGAACAATATGAAGAATCATAAAGTTTTATGTGTATCCTAATAAGAATATTAATACTACCTAGTGTTGTATTTAGGCCTGGGATTTCAATGGAGGTTTTTAGTCATATTAACATCATAAAACTGGCTTACTAAAGATAACGTAGCTTGAAAGCAAGACAACCTATGACAAGAGAGGAAAGGCATTTGAAATCTGTTATTAACTTAGATATAAAAAAATGATTATGATTTTAGATGACCAACTTAATTGTTTTGTTCTTATATTTACCTTACTGGTTGTTAATGATTATTTCCTTAATTAACTCTCTTAAGTTCTTATTATTTATAATGTCATTATTTTAGAATGCATTATAGGCTTTTAAATCCTTGAACTTATGTATTTTCACGTTTTTGTTTTAGAAATTTCTTCTAGTGAATAAATACAAAAGACATTTCTTTCTTGATATCTTTTAGATTGGGAGTATGTATTTAAAAACAGTGAATTTTCATCAAAGCAAGAGACATATGAAGAGTCATCCAAAGTTGTGACAGTAGAAACAAGACATCTTAGTTATGCCTTTGACTACCCTAGTTTGAGAGAAGACTGTCAAAGTGAGGACTGGTATAAGAACCAGTTGGGAAGTCAAGAGGTACATCTTAGTAAATTAATCATCACTCATAAAGAAATCCTTCCAGAAGTTCAAAGTAAATATGACAAATCTTGGCAAACATTGCATCGGGATACAGTCTTTGATATACAACAGAGTTTTCCCACCAAAGAAAAAGAACATAAGCATGAAGCACAAAAGAAAGGTTACCGAAAAAAATCTGTTGAAATGAAACAAAGGAAAGTCTATATGGAAAAGAAACTTTTGAAATGTAATGACTGTGAGAAAGTCTTCAACCAGAGCTCATCCCTTACTCTTCATCAGAGAATTCATACTGGAGAGAAACCCTATGCATGTGTTGAATGTGGGAAAACATTCAGCCAGAGTGCAAACTTGGCTCAACATAAGAGAATACATACTGGGGAGAAACCCTATGAATGTAAAGAATGTAGGAAAGCCTTCAGCCAGAATGCACACCTTGCCCAACATCAGAGAGTTCATACTGGAGAGAAACCTTATCAGTGTAAAGAATGTAAAAAAGCCTTCAGCCAGATTGCACACCTGACTCAACATCAGAGAGTTCATACTGGAGAGAGACCTTTCGAATGTATTGAATGTGGAAAGGCCTTTAGTAATGGTTCATTTCTTGCTCAGCATCAGAGAATTCATACAGGAGAGAAACCTTATGTGTGTAATGTGTGTGGGAAAGCCTTTAGCCATCGTGGATACCTAATTGTACATCAGAGAATTCATACTGGAGAGAGACCCTATGAATGTAAGGAATGTAGGAAAGCCTTCAGCCAGTATGCACACCTTGCTCAACATCAGAGAGTTCATACTGGAGAAAAACCTTATGAATGTAAAGTATGTAGGAAAGCCTTCAGCCAAATTGCATACCTTGATCAACATCAGAGAGTTCATACTGGAGAGAAACCCTATGAATGTATTGAATGTGGGAAGGCCTTTAGCAATAGTTCATCACTTGCACAACATCAGAGAAGTCATACTGGAGAAAAACCCTATATGTGTAAGGAATGTAGGAAAACATTTAGCCAGAATGCAGGCCTTGCTCAACATCAGAGGATTCATACTGGAGAGAAACCTTATGAATGTAATGTTTGTGGGAAAGCCTTTAGCTACAGTGGATCTCTTACTCTACATCAGAGAATTCATACTGGAGAGAGACCCTATGAATGTAAAGATTGCAGGAAATCTTTCAGGCAGCGTGCACATCTTGCTCATCATGAGAGAATTCATACTATGGAGTCATTCTTGACTCTTTCCTCCCCCTCCTCCTCCACATCTAATCAGTTGCCAAGACCTGTAGGTTTCATCTCCTGAATTTGTCTGGAATCTAACCTCTTTAATCCATTTCCATTTCATCATCCTTGTCCAATGCACATTAATATATTTGACATGGGATACTCAAGTAGCTTTTTAGTTGGTCTCCTTGTATTCACCATTGTCTCTGTCAGCTGTCCACATTGCAGCCAATTTTGTATTTAAAAAAATATGTTTAATCTCATTTCTCCCTCATTAAAATTCATCAGTGACATTTCATAGATTTTAAGTTAAAGCACACGTTCCTCAAAATAGCCTAAAAACCTAGCCTCTAATACCCTTTCCAGGCTACCTTCCAAAGTCCTATCTTGTGTCATTATCCATCTCATTCTCTGAATGCTTATCCAGGATTAAGACACATAATCTAGGATCAAAAAGATCTGGGCGTCAATCTTTGCACTTCCATTTTCTAGCCCTCTAATTTGGAGGCAACTTTTTGTGCTTTGTAAGCTTCAGTCTTATTTATATTGTGGGAATAATAATGTTTCTACCTCAAAAGTTAATAGAAGAATGAAATAACGCATGTAAATTGCTCAGCAGCGTGCCTAGCATAATTACTGAAATATTACTGTAAAGTAGAAAGATAACCATGCTATACATAGAAGACCCAATCATCTCAGCCATGATTATCTCAGAAATAAAAAGAAATGCAGCAGCTCAGGACTGAGAGATTGTGAAGACTTTTTTTTTTATTAGGAATGCTAGTAATTTTTCTAAAGGTAGGTGAGGAAGGAGGGTATCTAATACAGTAGGATTGACATTAGAGTCCATGATATAGGGTAAGATGGTGGCTTCTATCACAGCATCCACTAGATATTTAACAGTTCTAAGAAACTAACGTCTTATTTAAAGTCTTTTTTTTTTTTTTTTTTTGAGACAGAGTTTTGCTCTGTTGCCCAGGCTAGAGTGCAGTGGTGCAGTCTCGGGTCACTGCAACCTCTGCCTCCTGGATTCAAGCACTTCTCCCAACTCAGCCTCCTGAGTAGCTGGGATTACAGGCATGCGCCACCATGCCCAGCTATGTTTTGTATTTTAAGTAGAGACAGGGTTTCGCCATGTTGGCCAGGCTGGTTTCTAACTCCTGACATCAGGTAATCTGCCCACCTCAGCCTCCCAAAGTGCTGGGATTACAGGCATGAGCTACCGTGCCCAGTCTAAAAAGTCATTTTTAATAAGACAGTTTACTGAGATGTATTCATCATCTACATGTAAATAAAGGCAAAACAAAATTAAAAGGAAAACTTGATCAGTAACCAATGAAGAGTAGAAAGTAAAGTATAAGTTTGAACACCTGTCCTAAATCTGGGTGAATGAATTATATCAAACCTATGTCATTTAAAATAATAAAGGTTGTTAAATTACTAAAATTTCAAAGCTAATGAAGAAACCAAAACTATGGGTCATTACTCATGAACTGGCCCACAAACATGTTTGATTGTGTATGCATCAAGTTTAAAATACATATGAATACATTTAGCAGGCCATGTGTTTTCCATTTCTCCAACATTAAAACCACTCCCTGATCCTTTACATCTGAGCCCTTTTAATATTAACTCCTGACTGCAGAAGTCTTTTGACTTATAATCAATGTAGTAGCCAATTCACATATGACTATAGATACAAATAGAATGATGAAAATTTAATGTAAGATGAAAAGGAAGATGAATAAATATCCTTTATATGGTAAGATTGATTCTCTATCATACAGATGTCAGGAGCCCATAAATTACAGATTCTACCTAACAGAATTCTAATAAATTTTGTAACATTTTAACATGTATTTGTGAACATTCATATTCATGCTGTTACACCTATGAAGAAAATATACTGCAAAAGTGACATATCACATCAGTGGTTTAACAGTATTGAAAAAATTTATCCTGCTCTATACAACAATTCTTTCCATATGTGAAAGTTACTTTCAAGTGATTCATCTAAATGTGGAACAAAGAGTGATTAAAGAACTCTGTGACATACTTTAGTAATGGAATGAGAACAGCCTTCGTAAACATGACATTCAGAAGCCTCCACACCTCCTGCTGACAAGTCACAGGTTAGACTGCATAATAATTTTATATAGTATAAACAAAGATAATTTTTTTTTTTTTTTTAAATTGGAAACAGTCTCGTTCTGTCACCAGGCTGAAGTACAGTGGCATGATCCTGGCTCACTGCAACTTCCATTTTCCGGTTTCAAGCAATTCCCTGCCTCAGCCTCCCGAGTAGCTGGGACTACAGGCATGCACCACCATGCCTGGCTAATTTTTTGTACTTTTAGTAGAGACCGGGTTTCACCATGTTGGCCGGCATAGTCTTGATCTCTTGACCTCGTGATCTGCCGGCCTCGGCTTCCGACAGTGCTGGGATTACAGGCGTGAGCCATCAAGCCCGGCCAGATAAAATATTTTTCAAGCTACAAACGGGAGAAAATTATGCAGCACATATAAACTGTGGAATTTGTTTCCTTAACATAAAACTGCTCATAAAAATCCCTTTAGGGAATGACACTTTTTCCCCAGCTCATAGTCAAAGGATATGAAGAGGTAACAGGTGACTAATAAATATGTGGTAAGTACTAAATCTCCCTATGATCAGAAGAAATATAGTTTAGGCCAATGAAATACTATTTTTTCAATATCAGATCAATAAAAATTTGCATTGAAAGCATAGGAAAGAAGATACTATGCACTAATTTAAAAGAGCATGAGTTTGTACAAACTTTCTGGTAGGCAGTTTGTCAACCTCATAATTTTAATTGGGAAAAGTAGAATTTTATTTTGAAGTTCAAAACTTGGAACACAATGTTGTCTTTCCCTCTAGATCCCATTATATACATACAACGATTTAAAAGATTTTTTTTTAAGTGAGGCTTTTGAGTGGATGAAATAATTTTGTAAAAGACAAAACAGAGAAGAGTGTTCATTTGTGAAATGTAGCAGAAGCTGCTGCATGTTATATGTGAATGACTGAATGGTTTTTAAAATGGTATCTAGTGTGCTCAAAGGATCCCTAGAGAAGTTAAGGCTTGGAGTTGGCTTATGTGCAAGCTGTGGCTTCTAAGAAGACATGATGAAAAGACTGTTAAAGCCTTTCTATGTGAAAGTTATGTTAGTAGCCCTTGCCAAAAGCCTCCTCACTCTCCCCTCTCTTGTATAAGTAAATTGAATGGGATCCTTATTTCACACCATTCACAAATATAAGTTCTAAATGAATAAAAATCAAAATTAAATTACTAAAGCAAAAGTATTAGAAGAAAATATAGCAGGATATGTTAATGTCTTTGGTGTCAGAAATGTCTTTCTAAAATAGATACCATAAAGGAAAATATTGATGAAACTGACTGTGTCAAAAAATGTGTGCTTTTGGCCAGGCCTGGTGCCTCATACCTGTAATCCCAGCACTTTGGAAGGCTAAGGCAGGTGGATCATCTGAGGTCAGGAGTTTGAGACCAGCCTGACCAACAAGGTGAAACCCTGTCTCTACTAAAAATACAAAATTAGCTAGGTGTGGTGGTGCATGCCTGTAATCCCAGCCATTTAAGAGGCTGAGGCAGGAGAATGGCTTGAACCTAGGAGGCAGAGGATGCAGTGAGCTGAGATCGTGCCATTGCACTCCAGCCTGGGCAACAAGAGCAAAATTCCGTCTCAACAACCACAAAAATTAGTGTGCTTTTAAAGAAAGGTAAAAGATAAGCAACAGGAAGGAAGAAACACATCTGTAACGTAAGGGACATATTCAAAAATACACATAAGTAAGTAAAGGACAACTAAGCAAGCATATAAATGGGCAAAGATGAGAATGGGCAAATTATGGATGAAATAAATGTAGTTCTCTGCTAACCTCATTAGTATTAAGTGATGCAAATTTTCTCATTATTTATTTATTTTGGAGAGATGAGGTCTCACTTTGTTGCTGAGGCTGGTCTCAAATTCCTGGGCTCAAGTGATCCTCTTCCCTCAGTATCCCAAAATGCTGGGATCACAGGTGGACAGATTAAAATTTAGACCATATAATAGCAAATATTGTTAGTGGTATAGAGACAAGATTTCTCATCACAGCTACTTTAGAGGCAGTGAAGTTTTTAAAATGCTCACTATAGCTTCATTGTAGGGTTTAGTTAGTATATGAAACACTGAAAACAACCTAAATTACTTTTCTGTCATTAAAGTAATAACTAGAAGCTCTACGCAGAAGTTTAAAAGAACGGCTGATAATATTGATACGAATTTGACTAAAGGAGTTACTGGTTGAAAATGCAAAAATTTTGGCATATACTATTGTATATTTAAAAATATCATTTTATAGCTAATGCATTGGTAGAATTATTCAAATGCTTAGTGAAAGTTCTCAACAGACACCCAACTGATAAATGCTTATTCTGGGAAGGGACTGGTATTGGATGTTCTGGTCAAAGGAAGATTTAGTGTTATTTGTACTGTTCAATGTAATAATTTTTTAATGTAGAAAAAAAAATCAGTTTACAAAGAACTAGAGCACCTAGAATGAAAAGCTGGCAGTCTAAATTAAAACTTTTTTTGGAATTTGGAGAATCTCTCCTTGACTTGCCAGCCCTTCCAAGGCATACAGATCCCTGGTAACCCTTTCCATTTAGGGAAACAGACCTACAGTGAAAATATACAAAGGACTGCCCTGGTATTTACCTATAGTAATAAAACCATCTCATTCTTAAATGGAAACTGATAACCTAGTCACATGAAGAAAACTATCAGCATAGTAAGGACTAAGAGATGGAATTGAATCCTGACTGGGAAAACTCATGTAATAACAGAAGAAAATGAAATATTGATTTTAGTCTGATATTTGAAACTGCAAAATAAAGAAAACAATTAGATAAGAACTCCTAAGAAAAACAAAAAAATTGCTGCTGCAATAAATTTAGTAAAGGTCAGAAAGAACTCTAGATGCATAAATTAAAAAAAGAGAAACAAAAAAGGACATGGAAATTTACAAAGTCCATTATCTATGTTTTGGGAAAAATTTAACAGAAAATATAAGAATGCATCAACTGAATGATTGAGAATCTTTCTAAACTGAAATAATCACAATGTGCAGAAGAGATTCAAGAGAGCTGTCTAAAGTTCACAGAATAAGAAAATACGAGTTAGCTATATTTCAAGTTAAAATGCAAAAAATGTGATAAAATATAAAACATGGAATAAGTTACATCCTTTTCTTTCATGAAAGACAAAA